TGTCGCTTTCCGGCATCGGAGCTCTGTCGTCTTCCTATCTAGATGAGGGAAGGTACTCGATTTCGTAGACTCTTTGCGATCGACCCTGACCGTGAAGTTGGCTTGAAGGAAACTGATAACTGCTAACAGAGTGCTAGCCAATTCCCTCGCTAGTTGGTGAAGAATGATATTTCCGGTAAGTGGGGGACGACTCCCTGTATCGAGAGGGCATCGAGGAAAAATCAATATGGCGCATAGGAGAGGTATACTCATGAGGATAAACAGGTGCAGAGGGCCTGGACGGTGAGGGTTTTGGGGGTACTCTCCGAGATGCTGTGGATGCTACCTGAGATTCATTCTGACTAGGTGCTGAAGTGGCTACTGCTCTCCGTTATTTACGTATTCCTTTCGCACCCCGTCGAGTGTCAAGGGAACGAGTAGCGAGTATTCCGCAGGGTACGAAGGGGGCAGTAGGGGTCGGTGTAGGAGTCTGCAATAGGGGTCCTGAGGGACTCTAGCATTGGTAAGGGTCAACGGGACAAGGAAAGCAGCTGAACGGCAGTATTCTTGAGTAAAGAAAAGGAAACAATATTATTTAGTAATAGACAGCGTAGGTACAGAAGACATAGTATATCAAAAGAAAGAAGAGAAGGAGAACAGAAACAAGGACGAAACCTACTAATATACCCAAGGAAATCCCAGCGATGACAAATCCAAAGTGACTCACACACTTACGACCGACAGAACCCGATAGAACTCAATAGAATCTTTCTGACTAATCCAACTCCTCGTAATCCAGTGTATTAACTAACTGATCCATGAAATCAAGTTCCCCTCTGAGTGTTAACCACTAATACTTACATGTTAAAAAACATTAATGAGGGAGATACAGTTAAACCTGTACCATATCTACTGATACATCGGAAGAAGCAATGACCTCCGCTACCGCGGCAGTTGGTTTCCTCCGAGCATTGCCCACTGCTCTGATAGTGGTTGCTTGAACTGCATGAGGTCTCTTTCTGACAGTCTGAGACCTCTAGGTGGGAGATGGGGGGGAGGCTTGAGATTCCTCCTCCAGCTCATCCTCATCCTCCTCAGAGCTCTCGTGGTTGTTATCCGGAGCATTATCATAATCTGATTGGGTAGTACCAACTATTTATTCTGCCTCAGATGCCTCAATTGCCTCAGGGTCCTCCTGCACTTCAAAATTATCAGTATGATCTTCGGGGAGATGAAATTCTACCCTTTGAGCACTCCTCCTCCCAGTGGAGGTTTCGGAAGAATGGAGAATACCTTTCCGAGTTATTTGGGTGGCGGTGATTGATTGACTACTCCGAGTGCGGGCTGGCAGTGGAGTCAATGGTCGGTGGGATATCTCAAACTCATTAGTCTCTCCAGCTTGTTCAGGTCATGTTGGAAGTCATGGACACTTTGGTGCAGGAGGTGCTAAACTGGAGGAGCGTTTGGTGGGAATTATTCTGATCACTGGTAGGAATATCTACAGTGCTCTAGAATCACTCATGATATCTTCAGTTAGAAATCAATTCTTAGCGAGAAAATTTGCGCCGCTAAACCTTCATGAGTCAGAAATTATCCGGTATTACTATTATTTCCGCACTCAACCGCATCATTTATCATCAATCATTTTACCGCACTTCCTGAAGCGGTACTGAGTGCTCTGAGAGCAATCTAGGAGTTTGATTCGAGTTTGAAATAAAATCAATGCAATTACTACCTGGACTAATCTAATCTAATCAAATCTAATCTAATCTAATTTTATCCGATATAACCCATCCATTGATATACAAAGGGAAATCCAAAACACCAAATCGTACCGCATCCCAGTAGCTATCGCGAGTGCTCCGAGAGTAATCCTAATAACTATTAAAAGGTTAGTGACAGTTCCGCAGGAAGGGAAGTAAGAGATTATATCAAAGGGAACTATTGATACCCACCACCATCACTACTACCATCATCTCCACTGTCTTCAGCTGGTCCTCCACCAGCTCCACTACCTCCAGGATCAGTAGCCATGAGTACTTCAGCAGCCGTGAGTGCGTCAGCAACCGTGAATGCGTCAGCAGCTCTCTTGGCTGCTATCCTGGCAAGTGTCCAGATTGTCCCCTGTAAGAAGTTTGGGTCAGCAACCCCGACACCCAAAGGATACTTCCTAAAGTATTTAGTGTCTAAATCGTCGATAGTATCCTGCTGTCCATCGCGACGCCTAATAAGAGTCTGAATTAGCCTTTGATTACTGGCATCAATTCTAGGCATATATACCCTCAGTCCTTTGGAATTTATCCCGTGCTTCTCCTCCTCGTAATCCGAATTCTCTGCAGGAATATCGATCATCCTATAATCATATTCCTCAATGTGAGGAAAAGCTGGGTTCAACAGGGGGAATTCTACACCACCCAGATTAGAATCTGCTGCTGTTCTGTGGCGGACTGCCAATATCCTTTGAGGCCTGGTATTACTGTTCTTCAACTAACCTTCCAGTTCTTCTGAATCAGTAATTTGTACCTTTACCGGCTGAATGGGATGAACAGCTGCCGGGAGGACATTCTCAATTGCCGCCAGATAGTCCTGACTGCTCTGCCAGATGCAGTCTACTTCAAAATCAAGTTGCATAACTCGGGCAAAGTTATCTTGGTTAAAATTCCGTTGAACGAAGGTTCGTTCAGGGGATTATTCCAGTCATAAGTAGGTGGTGGCACGAGGATAAACAATGCCTCTAGAGAATCAGGGTTGACTACGGTAACCATTATGGAAAGTCGCACAAGTAACAGGGTACTGTACGCTCTTTCCTTTGCGAGAGCGTCCTCCGGCTGCCTGACCACCGCTTTCATCATGATCATCACTCTGACCGGCAGCCTCTTTTAACTAACGGTCTCTCTATACCTTTGATAACTTATTCTTCATACCAATATCCACCGTGAGTAACTGTAGAGCACTCGCTCGTACTCTACTGGTATCGCAATCACCCCCAGTCCAAATTGGCAGAAAACCATTGAGGGAGGGCAGGTTCATTAAGTAAAGGCATAGGGCATTAAACGCAGCCAATCCGGAGGTGTTTTTATTGATCCAACCTACATTTTGCATTCCCGCCTTTAGGCTGTTGTAGATGCGGGAGTAAACTTTAGGCAAGTTGAGTATATCTAGAGTCATCTTCGCTTTGGTTGTTTAAGTCATCTTAAATGCCCTCGAGCTCGAGGATGTCTCTTGAACACTCGGGGATGTTTCTTGGACAATCGGAAATGTCTCTTCGACAATCGGTGATAGCTCAGGTTTGATTCATCTCTCTCGTACTGATGAGGGATGGTCATTTAGTTCGGACGGGCTTGCACTAGAAAACAACCGAGAGGAGCATCGAGGCTTGAATGTAAGGGTCTCCGGTGCAAGAGCCTTCGGTGGAATACTGACGGATGCTGCTGAGGGAGTAGTAGAGGCTGCTGGGCCTGTTGCTGGGGCTATTGCTGCTGGGCCTATTGACTGGACTGCAGTAGGTTTGAACCACGTGAGAACTTGACATGGGACTATGATCTTCCAGGCAATGTTCTTTCGTAGAGCACTAGCGGGTGGTGGTGGGCTGCACTAACTCTAAGTACGGTCATCCGTGCAAGAGGTTCTAGTGAAGCACTGGTGCGTTCTGATGAAGCAGTGGAGACTGCTACTAGTAGGCCTATTGCTGGGCCTGTTGCTGGCTCTTGATTGTCACTTATGTATGGTTCAGAGAGTTCGGAACCAAAGTCGGGAAAGGAGTCGGAATCAGTTAGGGATGCTCTCCAGTTACTCGAGGAGATCCCTTCAGTGTCTGATGGAGCTAGGTTAGTATTTGGCGGAGTCCGGAGTTCACTCCCGATTGATGGAGGTACGGGGTTTTGCTTTCAGCTATTGTTCATTGGGGTGGACCCGGAAATCACTGGCGACTGCCTCGAGGGTGTTTCTGGTATTTCATCTGAGATATATTTGATAGTTTTGCTGAACAATTTGCGACCTGAGGAACGTTGATGTTTCTTATATTTTCTGGACCATTTGTGTTTCTTGGTTTTTCGGTTGGGTCGTTTCGTTATCGTCTTGTCTGTGTCACGCAAATGCTTCTTATTGGGGAGTTGATTTGTGTTCCTGGAGCTACCGAGAGTACTTTGAGTGGTGTTTGAAGTCCGATAATGTTAATGCATCACTGTGATGAGTATGGTTCTGAAATTAATTGGATTTCGAGAGAGAAATACTATCTTATTTATAAAGATTGCATAGGTTGAATCGCTTGAAAAGGGAGGAACTTGAAGGATGAGATTTCAACAGGTAATGTCAAAAGCAATGGAGAACTTGAAGGTGATTAGGAATTTCTCACGAACTTGAAGGAAGGGAGGGGTGCTCTTATACCGAGTACGATCAGATTTTTTCTTGAGCTTATCATGCTTCCGAAAGCACTCAAGAATACTCTACAAGCACTCGAGAGTGCTCGTACTCAATGTTTACTTCAATATATGATGTTGATGATCTAAATGCTTTCAGGCACACTCGGAGATGCTCGGACGGTACCAATGGTGACGTCGATAACATTCTGGTATTGGTGTTGGTATTTGTTTTCTGCTTGGTGTTGGTGCTCTGTCTTCTAGGAAGCTGATTGGAGAGAATGTATTCTTTGAGCTCGTAGTCGATATTAGTTTTGAATTTAGTGCTGAAAACACTGTCTCGATCTCAAGAGACTGCGTGGATGCTCAGAGAGAGAGTGCAGATGCTCAAGGCGATAGAATCTAGCATAACTGCCAGCCTGAGTGGGGTGGTGGGTGTTTCTTTGTGTTGGTATTTGTGTTTGTATTGGGTTGATGTATGACATCAGACTCGGACTGAAAGTCAGCATTGCCGACGGGGTGCAGGTGAGAGCCACATTGGCTGACAAATTAAATCATTTGAACACTGTGCAGCAGCATCTGCAGGAAAGAGCTTCCTCAACCTTGGCAGAAAATAAATGTTCAAAGAACTCGGGAGTGCTTTGGTAGCATCGTGAAACTTCAATGAAATCGTCTTGCCCTTTTTCCTACAAGTGGTACAGCTCCTCCGAGAACTTCGATAAACATCTTCGGACTCCATATCCATTTGAACCAGATGAATGGCTGGGAAATCAGTTTTTACTTCTGGAGCACGAACAAGAGATACCCGATGACACTCACGACAGCCCAGAAGGCATTCACAATTTCTATTCAGATACGCATGACGACTCTAATACTTCGGAGAGTAAGAGCATCAATTATCATGATCAAAATTCCGATAATAATTCAGATCTGGAATCCGAATCATATTTTATAATGGAAGAGGCAGATGGAGATGCAAATGGGCATGAGGCAGCGACAATGATTTACGAGGGTACTGGGGAGTATTTCTACTGCTCAAAATCCTACGATGAATGCTCACAAAACCTTCTCTAATACTCATGTCACCCATCAAACTCAGTATATGAGTTTAGAATCGCACGTTATTTGATACTGTCGAAGGCCTGACAAGGAAATAGCGAGAGTTTCTTTCTAGACGCTCCATCAAGCAGTGGCAAATGCTCCTACAGGACTGGGTAAGGTTTTATAAAGAGATTGATGGAAATGAATGACATATTGGGAAAGGCTAGCTGGGATCATTCGGAGGTGGATATTGGGGGAGAGAAAATCTCTTACTATTACTGGAATCAATGGTAATTGTGCGATATCTTCTATGCCAACGGGGCTTTTGAGAGTCATTGTTGTACGCACCAATGGTAGAACATAATGAATCTGGCGAGAGAATGTAAGGGGAAATATATATGGGAGATTGGTGGTGGGAGATGCAGGTCTGGTAAGGCTTACAAGTGCTCTATGAGCAGTCGCTAATGCTTTCTGGACAGAATACCTTACCGGAGTAGTCGACTGTGGTACCAATTATATGCGCGTCAGACAGCACATATTTGACAAATTTTAGTGGGGACAAGAAAGCCTAGCCAATCTATCTGACTATCGGGAACATCAAGTCATCGATCCGGAGCAAGCCCACCTGGTATTCTTAATTCTCCTAGGACTACTGCTATCACCAAACAAGCTTGGGAATAACTCACTCGCTAATTCCACTTTACAGCGTCAGAGTCAAATGATGCTGCATCGCGCCCTTAGAGAGATCTTTCAGAACATTCAGGAGTGCTCTCAGGAAGAAGAGCTAATCGCATGCGCCGATGGATACGAACCTCTATGCTTTCCGCTGTTGTCAGGTTGGATCGTTGATCAACCTGAGCATGCAAACCTAGAAGATGGTAGTACTAGTTCTTGTCCAAGATGTGAGGTGGAATTCCACATTCTTGGAAGCACTCGCTGGAGCCCTACGCATGATCACGAGGATTACCGGGAGAGTGTAAAGCTATTCAGAGAGAACCCTGAAAACCTGGGACCGATGGAATATCTTGTTGCGAGATCAGTGAAGAAAGTCTTCAATACTTGCTGGGGTATGCCGAGGGTTAATTCATGTGATCCCAACAAACCGGACATTCTGCACAATATCTACCTAGAGATGTTGAAGCAAATGATAGAGTGGGTTCAGGCTTTCTTGAAGAAGCACAATCTATTGGAGGAATTTGACAAAGCTTGGATCTCGATTGCGCCTTACCCTGGACTGGCAGTAATGAACAAGGCATATCATGCCACAATCCAATGGCAAGGGAAGAAGATGAGAAATCAGGAGCGGGTCGTTCTCGGAGCATTCACGGCTGCTTTAAGAAACTCAGCGGTGACTGTCAGGGGCGAAGTCACAAAGGCGTTGAAATGTGTACGAAGCTTAATCGGCTTCTACTTCATGGCGCGGTATGGGAGTCATACGACGAGAATACTGAATTATATGGAGAGCTATCTCAAGGATTTCTATAAGAACAGGGATATCTTTTTAGAATTTCAGGTATATAAAAGGACGGTTAAGGTTGCGAGAAATTGGACAAAAGCCTTCAACATCTCAGGCTCCCAGAATGCTCAGGGAGGCTTAGAGGAATTCGCGAGATACGAGAAAGGTCTCACTTCGACTTCATCAAATTGCACGTATTATCGCTCTATCGGGAACATATCGAGCGCTTTGAGAGCATGCTCCAGTATTTCACCGACATCAGTGAATTCGCCCATGTACGTCAGATAAAAGAAGCATGCGGAGCATTCAACAAGGTCAATGCTGCAACTCAGATACTGGACTATGGAGATGGTGGTTGACATTAGAGATTCGAATGCTGAATATGAAAGATATTGTTGGAGGTCCTGAAAGCATTGACAATATCCTTTGGAGATATCGAAATAACCTGAAGGAGTTACTTGAGATTTTTAAAATCGAACACTGGAAAAAAACTCCAAATGAACGATCCATTGTGGAAAGAGGGTTGCCTCTAAAGTGTCTTCGCAACCCCTCCACGAAATCGGAAAGGCTTTTCAATATTGCAGATGGACTGCAAATCAGCCATACTATATAATATCGCCTGTTAAAGGAGTTTGTAGAGAATGCGGAATGACCTCAAAGCTTTGTACGAGACTCTGGGAGAATTTTAGAGTGCTAGGTGGAGATGCTCACATGTTTGCAAGTTCCGACACCAATCTTTCAAAGACCTGAAGTCTACGAGATTCACAATATTAGGTGTACAGAATGGCGGTTTTTAGGAAAGGGAAAATAAGAATGGAATGGGTATGTATGTTGATGGTGTCCTTAGAGGAGTGGGGAGTGTTTTGGAGTGGCTTACCAGGATGTGTGGAGGTTTTGTTCAAGCTGTGAGACGGTGGGGAGTGAGCACATAAACTATGTATAGTGGAGCTACTCGAGGCAAAGGATCGTGGTATTTCTGATAGCTCACAAGGGCTCTTAAAGGTTTGCAGGAGGAGGAGGAAGAGGATCTGAGTCGTTAATATTCAGAGTATATTGGGAATGGCTCATTTGCTTGAGGTGGAGAGTGGTAATTGGTTGGTAAATACTAGTATACACTTGCGTATATGGAATGAATTTAGTTGAATGCTTGTAAAGCCGTGAGTGCATTCGTGAGTGCTCTAGGGGCATTAAACCCAATTGGACACTCAAATTCAAAATTCCCGTCGTTCTGCTATGAATGTGGATTGGAAGAAGGAGGTAAAGTTTAGGCCGCTCAGTATGTGAGTCTGGTTATCCAGTAAGCTCACTCCAAGAGGGCACGGCTGGTGGATATTTGCTGCTTATGCATGAAAATTGAGCTTTTCAGATGAACCGTACCATGGCCTCAACTTCAAGGCTAATTATGCCTTTCACGAATCGTCAGGAACATACACCTCCCTCAAACGTTGGCTAGTCGTCATCAGTATACAGAACAGTGCTCGCATCAGTATCCCGCGACTGACGGTATAACGGCGTTGAGGATACCCACGTCAGATATTATTTGAGGTACTGGTACCTTCCTATCCTTTGACGATGGCATATCAATACAAAGAGGGCAAAGTGAGCATTGCCTCACCTTGAGTGAGTATGACGAATGCCTCAGCTTTGTGAGCATTGGTGAGTGCTCTGGAAGTGCTAGCGTGAGTATTGAGGTGACCATTCGTGTGGGTATTCACGGGAGCATTCGCTTGAGCATTCGCGGGAGCATTCACGTGAACATTCGTGGGAGCATTCGCAGTGCTGTGAGAGCATTCAAGAAAACTGTGAGAGCATTGGGAAGTGCTCGCATGGTACTACTGATGTAATCAAAAGAATCAAAAGTTCCATGAGTGCTATTGGCGGGTTCACTTCAATCTAGCTTCTCCAGAGGGGGAGATAATCTCATGGTGGCTCAGGCAAGCAGAGCGTTGGTGAGTGCCCTCCGGACGTAAGCTATATTTCCTGGCAGTACCAGAAGGTTAGCCACTCCTGAGGTGGAGCTGGACGCGAGCGGTGTACATTGGCGGTTCCAGACGCGGTAGACCCTCAGGCATAGAACGCCCGCTAGGATGAAGGGCCTGCACCCTCAGTAATACGCAAGCTTGCTGATGTAAGGGAGAGGCAAATAGGTGCAGACAAACCAAAAAGGTGGATACCATACTATTGCCTGCACAATCACCAGATTTCAATTTAATACAGGCCTTATTGGGAGAGATGGATATTTAACTAGGGGAATCAATTGGGCGAGTAGACGAAATAGAAGTTCTATGAATTATGTCGAGAAATGCCTGGAATAATATTGCTCTAGATAAATTAGATAGTTTGATTAGGAGTATGTCTCATATACTATAGGCAGTGATTGATGTTGAGGGTAGGGCGACCCCATATTAGATAGATTTTTTGTAACCTTTTCACTCACCTGTAAGGTGCTATTCACCAATCCGGGTGAGTGTTCTTCACCTAAATATTCACTCTTTTTTGGGTACACGGAAGTGTGTTCTTCAGATTTCTTTCCTACATACAAATTATCTGACTTGGCCGCATATCAGTTCAAATATCACTGGTTGCCGCTCTCTGCCACTTGTGGCACTCATATCAAATCAGCCCAATCAATCGATGTTCTCGGTATTTAAAGTGCACACCCTGTATATTGCACTAGTAGTAGCGCACCTCCCACTTGAGAATCTCTTTCACCTCCGCGTAGTATTTAACCACCTCCAGTAGTTAATTAATAGCCATCTCATTGCCAGCTCTCAGCTCTGTATGGTATTTGACCACCTCTATTAGTTAATTCATTTTACCCTTAGTAATCTCATTGCCAGCTCCCACTCCGTTGACCATAGCCAGCTCCGGCAAATGGGGTAGTGATACAGTTCATGAGGAATTTCGGCTCATACCACCTCTACCGTAATTAGTCACCTACAGTGCCATGTCCAGCTAATGCCAGCACCAGTCAATGCCAACTCTAATATTAGAGGGGTTTTGCAACGAGGTATGCATTAACTCTGGGTAAGACCGGCGGCTTGTATAAGGTCTAGGGGACACTGGGGGTGATCAGGCATTATTTCTTTTTGACAATGCCACTAGTCATAGTGCTTTTGCTGAGGATGCATTGAGGGCAAACAGGATGAACAAGGGACCTGATGGAGAGCAACCACACATGAGAGATGGATATTGGTTTAAAGAAAATGGAGAGAAAGTAGTCCAGACTATGGATTATGATAGGAGGGATGAGTGTGTACCTATGAATTTGAGCGGGGAACCTAAGGGCTTGCAGGTTGTTTCGGGGGGGAGGGGACTTTGACCTAATGGTGGTTTATATCTTGACTGCTCTAGCAGGAGGATACTAACAGGAGGGAAAATCCAACATCAGAAACCCGATTGTTGTGCCAGAATGCTACTCTCTCAACAGCCCGATTTTTTGGAACAGAAAGGTAGAGTGCAAGAGATTGTTGAGGCTAAGGGACATTTGATATTGTTCTATCCCAGGTTTGATTGTGAGTTAAATTGGATAGAGTACTTCTGGGCCCGAGTCAAGCTTTATACAAGGACTAACTGTGGCTATGATATTAAATCTTTGAGGAGGAATATCCCTCTAGCTTTGGAGGAGGCCTCCTCATTGATACCTAAGTGGTGGGGAAAGTCTTTGATAATTATAGATATTTATAGAGATGGCACAGTTTATGGTACAGAGCAGTTTAAAGTGAAGGCTTATAAGAGTCATAGAAGGGTTACTGCGAAGGATTCTAAATTGTTTTGAGTATTTGATGTATTAAGGTCTCAAGACATTTATATATGATTTTTTATTCTACACACCCAAAGATCGGGAATTAAACCCTTTGTGATACACCTCAAACGAGAGCTTTGAAAGGAAGCCCTACTGGCCAGGAAGCTAGTCTGAAAAGGACTTGTCAATATCCTGAAAACTCATGGAGTTATAGCCCATGGGGTGGGGTGGAGTTGGGTGAGTATTTAGTGGGCAGGGTTACAATAATGACTGACACATTACGTAATTGTTCTAAACAACCGTGAGAGCTATTACAAAAATGGATGAGTGGGGTCCAAGATATACTTGTCAGCTAGACGCTAGATGAAGGGCATGTTTTAATCTTAAGATCTCATGGAGTTATGTTGTATAAGGTGGAGTGGGGTAGGCTGGGGGTTGAGTGTGCAGGGTTACCATGATGCCTGACATACTTATATAATCGCTGCTCAGAACCGTTAGAGTGAGCAATAGAACGAGAATGTCAGGTCTTACCTATGCTATCCAGCTAGATACTGTGAAAAGAACTTGTCTTAATCTTGAAAACTCATAGAGTTATGGTGCATAAAGTAAGGGGACAATAATGTTGCATCCCTATCATTCCCAGCCCCATAGCAACCACCCCGACCAAATAATTTTGAGCACAACAACCACACAAGATATTATTCTCCCCTTCAGGTATATAGTAAATAAGACGTAGCCTAACAATATAGAACCCTGAAAATAATTTTAAATTAAATATATAATGATTCATAACCTTTTTAACAATGAAAATGCAAATCCTATCCCTATTTGTGCATGTAAAAATTCATTTCAAATTTTCTATATACTTTTAAGCTAGTCGACTATTACCTCCCAAAATTACGAATTTAACTCTTGAAAACTGGTTGTGTTGTTGCCTACCAGCTTTGGGTGCGTAAAGGTGTAGTTGAGGTGTGGTGAAGTTGCAGTTACCCTACTGCCAAGCCTGTTCCACTCTGTGATTGCTTGGCGCATTTTACAAACTAAAATACGGAATTTCAAGCTTGAATAACTTTTTAACCAGGAGAGATATCAAGAATCTGGTTGGTAAAATTCTTCTTCATCACTAGTACTTCAATTTTACCAACCGGATTTTTCATAATTTGTTTCGTTGGAAAGTTATTCAACCTCGACCTCGCCCCAATTTTTTGACTACCTTTATGATTGGGCGCACCATAGATGTATGTAAGGACGTGCTACTCAACTCTACAGGCATGTACACATGACCACATTTCTCTTCACTCGGCTGCCAGGCCCAATAAAAATTCATCTAACCAATTGGCCAACTACAAGTAGCTAGCTCAGAAGCAATTAAGGCGCTGGTATGATGGGAGAAGGTGGAACAAGTTCCTCGCGATCATGATCTATCGATAACCGATTAAAAATATATTACGGTCTCCTTTATATCTTACCTGCCATTTTCGCGCGGCTAACCTGGTTGATTTTCTCAGCCTGCCCTTTCTACAGTGCAGCCCAGCTTTTAATCTTGATTAGATGTGTCCAGATAGATAGTATATTTTGGGGCGGTAGATTCTCTGGTTCTTTCAATGTGCATACTTCTGGAGGTGCGCGGGTAAGGGATTAGTCGAACTTATGCATGACACTATATATATCTGGAGCCGCTAGCTTTGAAAGTGAGGTATTGCGCCATAAACCTATGGCCGTAGCATGGAATAAGGACTATCTTTCTCGCCTGAGATTGAAAGGGTTGTTTCGCCGTGGATAAGTCCATCACGATATGTACTCGATACTTTATCACGGTGCGGTTATATCTATATACATTTCATCGGGTGGTTCATGGTGCCTAAATATATCAGCTTTTCAAGGTTAACCCTAGTCATTGCACTCTCCATCTTATTTCTACCATTCCCCAGCTCTTTCTACTCATCGACCGCTTTTCCTGATATCAACCTTGTTCAAACTACTTGGGATAATACATGTACATTAAAGCAGTGCCGTTGAAGGACCCTCCACTGTAATAAGATAAACTGCGGATAGGCAGTCCCACCCTTTAGATGGGTGGGTTTCATCTCGGCGACACCATATCATCCGCTACATCCACGAAGGAAACTTACCCAGCCATGTGAATCGGGGGCTTCTAGAGTCTAGAGCTTTGCTTTCTTGTTTAAAACCAGTATTGAACACACTGCCACAGAAATGTTCTCCAAACCATTCGATAAACAAAAATAAAACAGTCGTGAATTTTAAAACCGTACTATGATATCACGCACCGCGATTTTTTATCAGATCTGGAACGCCGTCTACCTATTCTCAATTTCCCAAGCTTTCCCCTCGACTCTGCGATATTGATCCCCGACGCTGCCTCTTCCAGCTTTGGCTGAACATGAACTCTTGAGTTTTCTTCATTTTCAGGCTCTGGTCTTTCCTCTTCAACGTTATTTCTTCCCCCCCCTGGCGGTGTAGGCCCCTCTTTCGATGAAGTACCAACCCTGGAATCCTGTAATAGTACTCCTTCGGCCGTTGCCTCCTCTCCCTTGGGTAGTGGAGGTTCCCCCACCTCTGAGCTGTCTACCTCATATTGGTTCTGTATCGATCCCCTTTCGGCCGTTCTTTCCTCCTCCGGAAGCCTAGGTTTTCCTTCCTGCTCAATATCGGCCATAGGTTCTTCCATTATCGCCGCTTTGTCGCCCTGTCTAGGCATATCCAATGTGCCAACAACCCTCACGGTCGGGTCTAGGATTTTTGGGCCTGTGTCAAGGATGAGAGAGTCACCCTTGCCGGTGGTTGTATAATCGATGGGTAGGTTTTGAAATTTGTCAATTCCGCTCTCTTGTATCGCGGTACCCTCGCCCCAACCAACCAACAGATCCACTACTTCTAAACATCCAGCCGCAGTTGCTAGATGCAAGGCAGTAGATCCTTCATTCTCAGTTGCAGTGATATCTGCACCTCGCTGTAACAGCAGCTGAACTACATCACGATGTCCTTCCTCAGCTGCTAGATGAAGCGCCGTGTACTCATGTGGTCCTGTTTCCATGATATCGGCACCACGATCCAGCAATAGCTTCACCACCTTTCCATGCCCGTCGGTAGCTGCCAGTGTTAACGCTGTCGAGAGTGCATCGGTTCTAACCCGGCAGTCGGCACCATGATCGAGTAGCAATTTCACAACCTCCGCTTCCCCTCTCGAAGCCGCTGAATGCAGTACTGTGAATCCACGTGGACCTTTATCGGTAATACTTGCTCCTTTCTCCAGCAGCAGCTTTACCACATCGATCCAACCTGCTCGTGCAGCCACTTGCAGAGGTGTGGCAACTCCTGTGCCAGTTCCCGACGCTATATCTACCCCTTCACGTTCTAGCAGGAACCGTACCAGATCTGGATATCCATTCTGAGCTGCAGCATGGAGAACGGTGTATCCTTCACCATCGATGGCAGAGATATCCGTGCCCTCGTCCACAAGTAGTTGAACCAACTCCTTATACCCGCAGGCAGCAGCCATGATGAGGGGTGTGGCGTCGCCAAAGCCTTTTGCCATCACGTCGGCTCCAGCCCGTAGTAGAAACCGTACAATATCGGTATGTCCTCGTTGAACCGCCCGGTGGAGTGCGGTGTTTCCGTTTTGATCTCTGAAGGTGAGATCTGCTCCTGTCTCGAGCATACGCTGCACAATTTCCCGATGCCCATGTGCGGCAGCTTCAGTGAGAGCCACTCCAACCCCTGGAGACAGTAATGAATCAGCGCCATGTGTGAAGAAGGCATTTCCAGATATATGGGGCCTTTCTTACGTCTCATGTCAGGTTTGGTGTCTGGTCGACGTGCTCCAGCAGAAGACATCATTGGCCCTTGGCCCACCGACGACCTCGACAGGGCAGGTACACCATCGACTTCATCCTGAGCATCCCAGGTGTCATAATCACCACCTAAACCATTGCCTGTCTGAATTCTGATAGGACCTGTTAACGCCCTTTCGGGTCCTGGTACACTCAAATTTGTTTCCCCATCCCAAGTATCGGCACCTGCGCTTAGCCACACGTGATCTAATGCTTGTCCAGCAGTTAGTCTCTCGCCCGGCAGGGGTCTCATAAAGCCCATAATAAACTCTTTCAGTTCGGCCTCGATTAATCGGTCCCCTGGAAATGTCAGCCCCTTAATAAACGCCTCAAGCCCCTTAGTTCCTGGGAACGGCGTCTTCTTCGTTGCCATTGCAAAGATCAGACAGCCCATTGACCACATGTCAACCGCATCCGTATATTCGGAGGTGTCCGTGTCAATGACCCCGAGAAGCTCTGGAGCCAGATAGTCGGGTGTACCGACGATAGTCCTTAGGGCTGTCTCATCTCCGGCTTCTTTTGTGGTGCCAAAGTCTGCGATCTTTACTACCAGGGGGAACCAAGTGACGGCTAGAACATTCTTCCCGATGTTAGTTGGCATTTCCGCATAGATTAGCGAGTCTATACACACCTGAGGTTTCAGGTCTCTGTGGCAAAAGTTGAGACTGTGCATAATCTTTAGGCCCTCAAGTAGCTGTATCGTGACCGTCTTTATCTGCGGCTGCGATAGCCCGCATTGGCTCTCGAGGATGAGGGTATGCAAATCCCCACATGGAAAATATTCCATGGCTAGGTAGATGCTCCTTTCATCCTGAAACCAGCCAGACAGCTGGACGAAGTGATCTGTGTACTTTGGGTGATTAAATGTTAGAATATAAACCAAACATATTGGGATATTTCCTCACCTGCGTCATCCTAGTCAAGGCCAGCAACTCCCTTATATTCATAGCTGAGTGAAGGACTACCTTCACCGCCCGGACATCCCCATTATCACACTTTTCTTTATACACACTTCCAAACGTTCCTTTTCCAATACGCTCCACCCTAGTCCATCTCTCCACTCGAACCTTCCCTCCGGATATTGTCTCGGGGATGGTATGTACAAATGATGTGCCATCGTCGCTGAACTGAGTGTCTAGTTTGTACGAGTCGAACGCGGTAAACGTGGTTGTCATTTAGAGTCGTCGTTGACACATTCACACACCGTGTAGAAGACGTAGTAGGTGAAGGTTGCGAGAGAGCGGAAGCTACACCTATGCGCTGGTGAACTCAAGTTGCTGTACCTGCTGTTGCGCAGCCACAACCTTGTGAGATGGCAGAAGCTTGGCGGCAGACGCACCGCCACCAACTGACAAATATGAGACTTCTTTTTTTCCAGCTTATCGCAAATCACCAGGGCTTACATAATTCTTTTCAACTAAGAGACAGAACTCCCCCCTGTTCTTTTTTTGACGTTCATTCCGGAAGTATTTCTTCCTTCCCACACGGAGAAACCTTTGATTTATACACCCCTCGGTCATGATTCTTCCTTACTTGATATCAACAGGAGACCCAATCCGAGTAGTCCATTCCCGAGATCGCCGTCCGCTTCGGTCCCATTTGAAACACCAAACACTTTATAGAACAGCATGTCTCAACACTATTATCACAAAAGACATGAGAAAACGCGTTTTGAACCACGAGGCAATCTCCTGGTGGACATGGCTCTAGTCTCCGCTCCCGATTCCTGTGTGGTGTTTGCATGTAACACAGATACGATGATAGGGATGGATCAGGTAAGCGTTTACGTTTAAGACTTCCTTCTCTGGCATTATTACCGTACTTTCGGAGGTTTTATAACCGCGTTCCTCCCAATCAACACGGACTAACTATAGAGCACTTCGGTCGAGTGAGAACTCATGATGAACTCAAACTGGGTATGCCACTCCACACAGTGATAAAGAGTTTTCTTAGCTTATCACACATCTAGACATCGTTTTACGGCGGAGAATTAGTATATCAACAGCCTGTTCCCGAATTTCAACCGACTTGTTTTCGTGAATATCTGTTGTGATAGGATGTCGCTCGAGCCGTTAGAAGGCTTGGCATTAATGTTACTGATTGATTGATTGATTAATAATTCATTAGTTGTGTGCAGCCCGTACGCTATGACAATATCTGACACACCAAATTAAAATAACATTGGCATTAATCCCTAGGGAACAATTTTCGAATGATAATTTACCTGTAATGGCCGGAAACCTTCGAGGGTATAATATATCCCTGTGGAGCACCCTGTTTACCCCTTTCATCTGGATGACTTGAGAAAGAATTGCCCTGAATAGGTGGTAATCTACCTCCATAAATTCATAAGGTATCATGAGATGCTGGAACAATTATTAAAAAAATAAAGTTCTGGAGGTTCGAACCTAGACCATCCTGACTTGTTACTCGGAGTCTTATCACCTATACTATTATTTTCTTTACCGCATTGATCTTTCTTGACCTAGAAAGGTCAGCCATCAGAGCCGTTACCTCTCACTGCTGCTGATCATTTTTTATAGCAGATAGCTATTTTTTTTTGACCTGCCATCTGATAGGCATCATTCCCCATCCGTGAGCATATATATTTTTGCTACCCCCGCTTGTTCTATCCCTTTTTGGATAGTTCTAAAACTTGAATAGATGAATTATCACCCTCAGGGGCTAATCAAACTTACTGGAGGATAACTGTAGACCAATCGGCATAGTCAGGTAAATAAACACAAAGTCGGAATCCAGGTCGATTTTGGACGTTTTTTGCATTAATCATCCTACAAGTACGGATCATTTACCCCTACACACCAAAGAAATTGTACCATAGGGTAATGTTAGAGATACATATATGTACGTATTTATAACTACCTATGATTGCGTCCCACTTGAGCTTGGTGATGTTCGTACTCCAAAGCAAGGGTATTGTTACAAACCTTTGGGTGACCTTCCCTAAGGAATATCGATCATTTTATTGGGATCGCTAAGACCTAAGTTGTGCTGATTCATTTCCTTACTACAGATCTGTTATATCAGAGCAGCACGGAACTCCGGCTGCAGGACACAAAGCGATATATAAACCTAACCTGGGGCCCCACTGCAATTACATGCTGTGTTTGATCAATAGCTCCTGGAAATCTTCGATAAGGAGCCAAAATTGGATTGGTGGCGCACCATTTTAGCCTGCATGCTCGCAGAGATTGGTCAGGTGCTTAATCCTGTATTGATCGACTGCTTGAGTCAATGATAACTTTGAACTAGGTCAAGGTATCACCGCCCAGGTATTCAGGTGAGTGTTGATATTGTTAAATCAAAGGTGTCTTCATAGCGGCGACTCCTGGAGTACAACACCAATACCAAAAAGGAGACACAACGGAGACACGGGAAATCCCTTGGAGCCTATCAAATAAGTATATAGATATACCGATATGCAATGTGTTATTTAAAGGTTTTGATTGGCCAGGTTTGAGGGGTTTTCTTTTTCTCTATGAAATATGTTTGTCAGTAAGTAGATATTCTATCAAATATGTTGGAGTTAGTAGATATTCTATCAAATATGTTTGAGTCAGCCAGTAGATATTGGTTCCAACATACCTTGAGTCAACCAAATAGTATATCAAATATGTGCACAGGGCATCTTGGGGTTTCAGTGAGCTTAAGCGTTGGTAAACTGATATTGTTTAAGCCATAACAGCTCCTACTCCGGCCAAAGGCCGGAAAATGCTTATAGATTCTAAATCTATGAGCTAATCTATAAGTTAAGCCGTGACAGTATATAGCGTAGTGATACATCGCCGAAATCTCATGGAATTTTATTAGATGGGCACGATACTGAACACATATATGCCTAGCCCTTGGTAACACTAGTCCGACTAATGCAACCACGTCATCATCGGCGGCGTTTTATCTTCCATTGTATCCCACTTCTCCACAGCCTCGACACTAGCAATACGTTCCCACCGATAAATGGGCATTTTAACTCTTTTTAGTGTGCATGTTGCCAGCCATGTGTTGCGTAACGAGGGCTGAAATGCAATCATTTTAATGCATACATGTAGAGTATTGACCACACACACATACTCATACACACACCAATTTTGTCATACGATATACCTTTCAGCCCGCTCAACTCAAGAAGCGGGACGCCCTAGCCAAATCTGTAACGGCAGCCATACGTTTCGGTTATGTGAAGTGTTAGAGTATGAAAAGGAAGGATTGTGCAGTGTGTGTGGGATTTGTTAAGCGAGTTTCTAATATGTTCTTTCTGTTTCTGTTACGCGAGAAGATGAGTCATCGTGGGTTGAGGTTTGGATATATATAAAGGGGTGTTGTCTCGGCTTTCTTCTGTTTTCTTTTCTTTCCTTTCTTCTTTACGCAACCTCTGTATTTATCCCACGAATACTATTCTTTGTCCGCACTACGTCATAGGGCTCCAACCGGTTTATCATACCAGGTAGAGCCACCCCATAGTCCATAGTCAAAGTATACCTTTACGTCTACGTCCACGTCTACGTCACTACCTAGGTTGTATTCCTTGGCACCACAGTCTATCGCCTACAGTTCCCGTGATACGTAGGTTGCGTCCTCTATCGCCAACCAATACAACACCATAGTTTACAATGTCGGAACATGCATCTATTGATTATCAACAACTCAGCGATAGTCTCTAAACCCTTTTTCGAGCGCATCCATGGGTCGATGATACTGTTGGAACTGAAGCCTATGCGCTTCTCCAACAGTGCCAACATGGTCTTGCTCAATATGCAACGGATTTACAGGAGGTAGAAGCGGAAGGCGAGATGGCGAGAAGAAGGTTTGAACAAGATCTTGCTGCTGCCCGAGCTCAACAGGCTCCTGTTGAGGCTGTCACCCCTTTTCAAACACCCATCGAAGACAATGTTCCACCTGCACCCCCAGTACCACCCGCTACAGATACTACCTATCGGTCGGAGAAGCTCCCAGATCCTGAGGTATTCAAGGGGGATCGTGATCGAGAAAGACTACACCTGTTTAAGCAACAAATGAAGATTAAGTTATTGGGAAATGCCGATCGCTATCCCACACTACAGTCTAAACTATCCTATGCATTCAGCAGATTGGAAGGCGTTGCCGCTAATCAGTTTTTACAATACGTCGGTGAAGAAGGCATTGCTTTGCCCTCTATGCTACGATTTTATGAAATTTTGGACACTGCTTTTGGGGACCCCGATCGGATGCGTACGGCTAGGAGGAACCTTAGGAACATCCGTCAACGAAATCGAACATTCGCCGATTATTTTGCTGAGTTTCAACGATATGCTGCTGAGTCGGGTATGGATGAGGTCTCTCGGATTGAAGCTTTGATGGAAGGTATTAATGGGGAACTCGATGAATCAATGATACACCATGACACTCCTGCGACGGTAGATGCCTGTGCGACACTTTTGCAACGATTGGATAATCGTCGTCGAGCAGCAGAAGCTAAACGAGGAAATAAAAAACCTTGGACTACTACTACTACTCCGGCCCCTCGTCCCCCACCAGCGAATCCTGTCCCTGCTCCTCGTGCTACAGCCCCAGTCGCCAATGCACCTGTTACTGAAAATCACCCCTCGTTCCGTCCTGGAGGTGATGTACCCATGGATTTGTCTGGAGGACGTCGTCGCCCTACCCCTACCGAAAGGAACGCCCGCTTAGCTGAGGGCCGATGTTTCTATTGCGGAGGTGTTGGGCATATGGTTAGGGATTGCCCCCAAGCGAGGGCAACGGGAAATCAACCAAGGAGGCCTGTGATGAGAGGAGCGGCATTGACGGTGGAAGAAAATGCCAGAAGCGATAATGAGTCGGCAAAAGATTTGTCCCTGCACTAAGTGGCTTAGCCCAGGGACCATTTAAGGATTTTTCTAGGATGTGTATTTCTGGGTTTTCGGTATCAGAGGAGGAAATGGATGGAAATCAACTTGTAGTAACTTGTTCGATTTCACAGAATAAAAACTCTTTCATACCTACCTACGCTCTTATTGATACCGGAGCATCAGGATACGCTTTTATTGATGAATCTTTTGCACGCCACAACAATCTTACAATGACCCCCCTCAAAATACCTCGCCATGTAGACGTTATAGACGGAAGGCCTATTAAATCAGGAAAAATTACCCATATTGTCGATGTCTCGCTAGACATT